GTGATACTGCCCTTCTGCATGCAAGGAGGTCCAACTTAGCATGAATTTTGAAACATTCTAATACCAGTCTTGATACTCTCAATGACAATAGAAAATGACGATGGGAGATGACGACTCATCCACTTCTAAGTTTTCATCAGTAATCTGGATATGCAGCACTAACATCCTGAATTACTTCCCAATAAAAAAAAAAAAAAAAAAAAAAACAAGCAACAAAATCAAAACAAAAATGTCCGAGAACTGTCGGTCAGGGATAGCCCCAGTTCTACAAACCCAGACATCGAAAAATGTCCTGATGAGAGCCTGCAATGCACTCAGACTGGTCCCGCAGCTGGTAAGCCATGGGGAGGTGGAAAACTGGACTCGTAGACCACGGTTGGCCCCAAAAGCTGACGGGCTTCAGTTGAACCTTTACGACTGGAAACTCCTCTTCCAATTTTAAATTTTTCAAAGGTGAAAAACTGCAAAAAGTCTCTCCTGCCTCTCATGCAGCCATTTTTAAAACCTTGATGATGCTCAAAATACAGACCGCCTGGCTCAAAATACCAAGAAAATTAAACCTATCAAATCCAACAAAAAACTGGAACACCCTCCAACCATCTAGAACAAAAGAAATAATTAACCTCCAAAATTCGAAAAAAAGCAGACCCCCATTTTCAGCCAATAATTCTGTCAAAGTAGCAATGCCCATTACAGCTATTTGCTTCCAAACGAGCAAAACATATGTTAGCCACAAAAGGTAAGGGAAGGAAAAAGCAGCTGGCTGCCGACCTTTGACCCCAAAGTGGTCGCTTTGTGAGAAACTAAAAAAAAAAAAAAAAAAAAAAAATCCACCCACCTTTAGCTGTAAAAGACATTCCGCTAGCTAAATAAGAGCTTTGAACGAAAAAAAATGAGTTTAAACAATAACATTAAAAATTAATTCTCAAATATTAACATTAAAAATTCACTATTCACTGTAAATTAAAATATTATTTAAGCACTGTAAAATAACACATAATTCTACACAATTCCCCCCATGGTCCAGAACAAACCCCTAAATCAGCAGTTCTCAACCAGTGGTATGCAGAGAAACAAAGTATTAATTATTAAATTAAAAAATATCGTAATGAAAAAGAACAATTGATAGAAATTTCCTGTGATCGAACTCTAACTGAAGATTTCAAAAATGACACACTAGTCAACTTTTGGCTGAATAAAAAAAAAAAAAAAAAAAAAAAAGAATTTAAAGGCATTTCAAATAAAGCTATTAAATTTGTATTGCCTTTTTGCACAACCCGTTTGTGTGAACAATGATTTTTTTCCATGTTAAATTTGAAATAAAAAACAGACTAAAAGTGGATTCTCATTTACCATTAAAGGTAAATGAAATAAGACCCAACATAAAGAAATTGAACCCTCTTAAGAGGCCCAAATTTCACACTAAATTTTAAAATTAAAGTATTATAACTGAAATTTTGATAATTAAAATGGTAACGAATTTTTAATCTCTAATAGTTTTTTATGTGTGCATATTTAATACAAAGAGCCAATAGGTTGTGCAAATGGCAATATATACTTTTTTTTTAATATTTCTACTGAGAAATTGAAAAATAATCATTGTAAAATTTTAGCGGAACTAATGTTTTTCAGTTTTTGTTTAGATGGTACTCAGTAGTTAAAAGGTTGTAAACCACTGCCCTAAATAATTATAATTAGGAAGAATAAGAATAACTGCAGATACTACTTCGCAAATGGATGTAATCATGGAGATCAATGATAACTTATTTACAACAATTACAAATTTACCTACATTAAATTTTAAAAAAAAATTCAACCAAAAAAATTTAAATATAATTTGCACCCAAAATAGACAGAAAGAGTGAAGTGTCACTATTAGCCTTACTTAGTAACTTGGTAACAAAATGTTCACAAACCAGAAACAAATTAAACCACTAGTGAGTAACTAATACATACTTTCCCCCCTAAATAACCAATAGTAACATGAACCAAAAATGCTTAGAACAAATTAACCTCTAAACTGAAATAGGAGTACTAACATGCACAGAAAAACTCCAGAAACGGAATTCAGAAACTTAACCAAATCTAATCCAAAATACTAAGGTGTGCCTTAGTAGGAAAAACAAAACAATTCCAATAACTTAATTTCAAAACAGGAAAAGAAAATTTGGACCAGCCAAATAACTCCCTAAAATCGAGCCAAGTAAAGAGCCAAGAACCCGAAACCGAAACTAAGAGAACTCTCAAACCTGCGCATACCACCCCAAGAGCTAAGCACAGTTAAATGAAATTGAAATTAAAATATTTCTTCAAAGGGCAAAAGAAAATTCCAGACACTTCAAATGTAATCAAAACTCATAAATAAAACATTGATGGAAAAAATTCTAGGCAAATTTGTCACCAGGAATACATCACGACCAAACTGAAGTAAGTTAAAGAACACATACAGAAATTCTCAAAATAACAAAAGATGTTCAAAATACCCACAAAATTTTGACAGTATGAAACATAAAATTGCATAAAAGAGCTATTTAGGGAATCTGGACTGCTTTGAGAAACCACAGTATTGAGCAACATCTGTACAAAAATGCCCAAAAAGCAAAAATGAAACATACAAAACTCAAATTTAGAAATCAAGACAGCAGTCTGTTAAGGAACAATTGTGCATGCATTGCAATTGTGAGATGCAGTCCTTAGCATAAACACAAAAAATTACCAAATAGACTACCAATACCTGCAAGGAACAAATGTGAAAATCTCAATCACAGAATAAGTGTTTTAAGACTCAAAATCCCCAAATAACTCAAACTCAAATCCAATAAATCCACAAATCCGTACACTAAACTCCAAGGAAAAATGCACGCTGAAACCTGGTAGTGTCTCTATCCATGCTTAAATGCAACACAAAAGTCTTGCGAGTTTAAAAACACTGGTAATAAACTGAAAATGCATAGCATGTACTAATGAAAAAACTCATAATACCAAATTCACACAAAAATGGCTCCAGCAACCTGAAGTCTTCCATATAAGTATTCATTCTCACATATCAACATTCTTATTCAGTACAAAACTCAATTAAAAATTAGAATTAAACCTTAAGTATGCAACCAATTCAATCACAAACCAAAATTCAGTGACAAATAATAGAAAACTAATAAAAATCACATTGATTACTCAAATTAACAATTTAGTTCACTGTTCAAAGCAGGCTACACAACTCACTATTAATTTCCTCACCAGAATAGCATTTAAAGAATCTGAATGCCTACACAATGAGTATAGAAGAGTAATTATCCTAATTTCATAAATTACAAGATAAATTCTATCTTGTCACATTTAAATCAGTTCAAATAATAATATTAAAAACTAATTCCAAAATATTTACATTAAAAATTCACTATTCACTGTAAATTAATATATTAACTAAGCACTGTAAAATAATACATAACACTCCTACACAACAACCAACAACCTTGAATAATTATGACTAATTGTTAAAGAGTTACAGGGGTGCAGATCACATTTAAATTCAGTATTGAAGTAACGAGTTCAAGGCTCTGAGTCTTGAATATTTGTAGAGTGAAAAATAAAATAAATTCACTCATTTAACTTAAGAATATGACATAATTTTGATAATTTCATTTCATGTTTATGACTGCTTAAAAATATACTACTATGTTGAATTTTCTGAGAATCTAAATTTTATTTGTTTACATCCAAAAATAAGTTTAGATAAACATTGATATATTCTGCAATCATGCATTATTGGAATCCTGCTGAATAAACACAAATTCATAATTTTATAATAAGAAAGCAAAAAAAAAAAAAAAAAAAAAGGAAAACAAAATATAACACAGAAATGATTTTAAAATTTGCATACAGCTACTAAATATATATAAAGTAATTAAAAGAGAATTAAATTTTCTTTTTTAAGCTACAAAGAAGTATTTAATAGTGTGAGCTTCCCTCATCCAGAGGCAGTTTAACAATTATAAAAATGTGTAAATACAAGCAAAAAATATAGTAGGAAGGTATAAGAAATTTGTAAACATAAAAACTAAAGCTAGTAAAAGTATTTAAACAGGCAAACAAAAACCAAAATACATGAAAAAAACAAATTGCAAAATACAAGATAAAAATGTAATATTTATGATGGGATTGCAAACATGTGAATGTTGATCTAAATATTCAAATATTGCATAACAAATAAAACAATATATAACACGCATAAAATCCATATATCACAATTAAAATACTGTGAATTTTTTATTTTTAAAAATATAAAGTTAAAAATTTGTAAGGCATATTATTTTGTGGTAATGTGTACTTAACTTTAATTTTAAAAAACAAAAGAATAGCACAGAAGATATAATCAAAATAAAACCACAGAGTTTTAATTTGTAATATGTAACAAATTTATTCATTAAGCAATATATCAATGTTTAGTTACAAATTAAATATATAACATACATTGAATACTTTTTTATGCAAGAAGTAAAAAACACAAAACTACAAGTCAGTGATCAAATTCCTACTTGCATACTATAAACACATAATTATAGTTGAAAATTAAACAAAACAACTTTATTTTGCTATATCTTTTGAAACATTAAAATAAAGCTGCTATTTTGTCTAGTTTTAAACTTTATACTGACATGTTTCTCTTTCTTTTGAATGCCTATTAGTTAGCTACATATACAACAAGTTCTATGAGAATTCTGAGAAACGTACATGGAGAACTGAATATTCGCTCATTTCAAATGAATATTCACTCAGTTCAATTTATAAAATTGATATTCACAACTAAATATAAAAATGCATTTTAAACTATTCATCTTTGCAAGGCACTCCATATGAACTACTATGTGCTAAAATGCATGAATTAAAACTGAATTAATTGAAAAAAAAAGGTAATAAATATTTCATCAAATCAGTCAAAGAAAATTTCAGTCAGGTTATAAAAATTTTTTCTAGCTTTTACGGAAAAAATATGTACTTACCATTCCCAGCAAATACACTCCTCCTCCGATAACAAACGCAGATATAGCAGTTCCAAAAATGGCAAACACAAGGATAGAACCAATATTTTGGAAGAAATTTCCCTAAAAGTTAAAGGGAAAACTAATTTAATAAGCAAAGTTTTATTTAATTCTGAAATATTTATTAATTTTGGTTTAAAAAAATTTCATAGTAGTCTCATACATAAAACAAATACTGGCAATATACTTATTTATATTACCAAAATAAACATATTACCTCTAATTAAAAGTTTGCGACTTGAAATTAATTGAAAATTAATTAATGCAAGAAGAAGATTTGTATTCATACATTTAATTTCATAGAGCAAAAAAACAATATTAATTTAAAAGCTGTGTTTCAGAGTTCATAATATACCTGTTAACTGTATGAATTTTTTCACTTTATTTCTTAAGAATAAAAGCGAAGAGGAAGTATGAACTAATTGGAAAAATACTTTTGCACTTACAAATTTAAAACAAATTTTAAAGTTCATGTATAAAAAAGAAGTGCTTATGTATTGTACCATCAATTGTGAAACTCTTGCTAAGTAGGGCAATTTGGTGTCAATTATGAGTACGTGCAATGCACCACTACACTCATAACATCCGTGCTTTCATTCGATGTAACCCAAATTGTTTCTTGATAAGCCATGTTTTGTTTTTATGAACAAATACATAAATTAACTGTTATTACTGTATTTTTCCTTGCATTTTGAAATATATTATTAAAATTTGGAACTGTAATGAAGTTTTAAAGACATCTCGCCATATTTCAACAAACAACCAACTTTATTAGTCAAAACTTGCAGAATAACTGAAAAACATTAAGCATGTGTATCATCTGCACGGATATTGAGTGAGATTTCTTTACATTTCTTAGTAGAATTATGTTGGTAGCGTAGCAACGCAAATACATTACAGTCTTAAATTCCTTCCCTCACAGGGAACTTTTCAAAGAAAAGTTTTTTTTTCAATCTGATGGAAAATTTAAGAAAAATTTTCAGTTTAAATACATTAAATTTTTTTACAAGACAAATATGTTCAAGCATATCTGTAGCAAATACAATCAGATACCTGACCAAATGAGTACAAGTGCTTTCAAAGAATCATTTTAAATAAACATACAAATTTAATATTCTAATATTAGAAAAATTTAAACAATGAAGTTTTATAATTCCTAGAATATATATTTTTAGTTGTGAGATGTTTGGATACGACGACTTAAACTGTCAGCATTTTAATGGTCCTTCCCCTTTCTATGCACAACTTCATAGTTAAAAGGTTGTGAGATCAAAGTCTGTCGCAATAGTCTACAATTAGAACCAGTGTTTTTATCCAACCATACTAGAGGATTATGATCAGTCTGAATGATGAACTTATGAGATCCATCTGGGTAGAATTTTAACTTTTATACTGCAAAGACAATGGCAGCACACTCCCTTTTAATTCTACTCTACTTCTGTTCAGTAGGTGAAAACTTTTTGATAGGAAATATTATTGAATGTTCTCTTCCTTTAGCATTTATTTGTGATAATACAACGCCAATACCAATATTCGAAGCATTGCACTGAATGATAAATGGCTGAGTAAAGTTCGGACTGGATTTTTGTGTCAACTGTTTCTTGAGTTCATCAAAAACATTTTGGCAGTCATCAGTCCAATTTATGGTTGATTTGCAACATTTTTCTTTTAACAAATCTGTCAGTAATGCAGAAATCACAGAAAATTCAGAAATATACCTTTGATTAATACCCCACAAAGTCCTAAAAATGACCAGACTTGTGTTTTTGTGGTAGGTTTAGGGAAGTCCTTTACGGCTTGGATTTTTATTTCTGCTGGTCTTTTTTGACCTTGTCCTACTACATGACCTACATATTTGACGGTCGTATGAGCAAACTGACATTTCGAAGGCTTTAGTTTAGCAATTTTCCTCTTCATCATCTTGCGAGAATACTGCAATATCGTCAATATAGGGTACAGCAAATTCTTCACAGTTTCTTAATAATCCTGCCATCAAGCGGCTAAAACCATACGGTGCATTTTTTTAGCCCAAAAGGTAACCTTAAGGGTTTAAATGTTCCAAAACTTGTCACAAAAGCAGCGTAACGCTGAGCTCTTTTAGTTATTGGGATCTGCCAGTAACCTTGAGTAATATCTAGAACTGTTATATATATCTGGCAGATGACACTTTTTCCACTAAATGTTCAATGTTCAATGTTTGGTAAGGGAAAATATTGTGCCCTAGTTGCCTTGTTCAAGCGACGGTATGTAGAAACTGTATTGCACCAGATGGCACTGTGTGTGCCTGAATTCTTGAGTAGTTTAGAACATTGCTGACTGTAAGAAAGGTAAAAAGAAAGTTGCGAAAGTCAAACTAAATTTATATGTGTTTCTTTATTATAAATATATTTATTTATGTCGTCAATAAAATTTGGATAAAATGACAGAATGTGAGAATCAATGCTGCATCTGACAGGTAAGCAAATTTCTTTATTATTTGATTTGAATATCGAGTTTTAGAATAATGCAAATCCGATATTAGATGCAAGTTGCATATTTATACAGTAATCAATGCATGGTCTAGCATCTTTTCCAGAAACTTCAACCAGTATGAGTGGAGAGGTAAAATCCAATTCACCTGGTTCTATTACTTTGAGTTTTATCATCTTTCCTAGTTCAGTTTTTAAAATCTCAGTTTCTCTGGCAGACAACCGATAAGGTTTCGCGCATATCGGTCTTTCTGCTTCTAATTCTATATCATGTTCGGTAAGGTCAGTAGCACCTGGTTTATTAGAGATAATACAGGAATACTTGTATATCAACTGCTTTAAATCTTTTCTTTGTTCTTCAGATAATAATGAATTCAACTGGATGCCTTGCAAAATGTCAGACATTTCAGTATCCGTTCTTTAATTTAGACTTGGTATTTCATCTTCATAGCAGTTTCTCCTGTCTTCTAAACATAGCAAGTTTATATTTTCTGCTCGTTGAAAATACGGTTACAGCATATTAATGTGGTACACCTGAGTTTTATTTTTCTCGGAAAACTCAACTACATAATTTGTCTCTGATAATTGTTGAACTACTTTTCCAGGACCTACCCATTTAACTGATAGTTTGTTTGGCTTAGATGGAGCTATAACTAGCACTCTTCTTCTTGAAATTTACGTTCTATAACTTTGCGATCATACCAGAGTTTTTGCCTTTCTTTGACTTCTTCCATGTGCTGCGCAGTGAGTTTTTGACATTTCCTCTTCGATTCATTTGTTCAAAAATATAGTCCACTACTGTATTTTCTTTCTCTTCAAGAATTCTTTTAGAAGTTCTATGCATCCTTTTTACAGGATTGCTTTGTGGGTGGTAAACAGAACTTCGTACAACTTTAATTCTGAATTTTTCTAGCAAATTCAATGTCAATGCACTCGTAAAAGATGTGGCTTGGTCGGTTTGGACCTTCTTTGGAAATCCCATTCGACTAAAAATTAGAAGGAAAACATCAACAATTGTGGTTGAACAAAGATTTGCCACAGGAACTGCATCCATATATTTTGAAGACATGCAGATTGCAGTATAAGATACTTACTTCCTGAAGGTGTCATAGGCAGAAGCCCACAAGCATCAACATTTATTTTTGAAAATATTTCTGTGATAACAGGGACAATTTTCAAAGAGGTTTTCTTTTTATCTTGCGGCTTTCCAATTCTTTGACATTTGTCACAAGTTTTAACAAAATTCTCGTCATCTTTGTAACAATTTGGCCCATAAAAATTTTTAAATAATGCATCTTTGGTCTTTGTTGCACCAAAATGGGTTAAAGTTTCTTCATAACAAATAGTCATCAACTGTTTCCGATATTTTTCAGGAACAACAATCAATAGTCTTTGTGTTCCATCACAATCTTCTTTTTTTAAAAAGAGCATTTGGCCTTTCAACATATACCTCATACTTTTAGAAGATTTTATTTTAGCTTCTCCATAAAGTGGCTTCAATTCGATGCTCTCCTGTTCTTGTATAAATATTTCTGGAGAGGCCTTTATTTCACAGGAGGAAAACTTTCTCATTTTCAGTCAGAGTGTCTTTGTCTTTAAGTTCAACTTCAGAATTTAAAACATCTGTTGCGACCAGATTTTCCGTTTCTTTTAGTCATCACTATTGAGCGCAAAGACTGCAGCCTTTGTTATTATATGACCAATATCACATTCAAGCTCAACCTCAGCCAAAGGTAAGCACACTGGATGTTCTTCCAGAGGTTTTCTTATCCACATAGTCTCACCTGTATCAGGGTTTGTACACATTTTCTTACTTTCTTACTTACATACTTAATTTTTTCGCACGGAAATTAAGTACTTTTGAGGACCATTAATGAAAAAAATTAAGGATCTATGAGCAAATGGAAACAGAATAAATTCAATTAAAAATATTATTCTAAGCCTGAATTTCTCTTTTGTAATACTATCCTAAAAATAAAATAAATCCCAAAGTAGTAAGCATTATTACTAAACATGAATTAACTAACATAATTATTAATAAGTTTGAGAATAAAATAAACTCCATGCAGTTTATCAAGTAGCATTAAATATTTTACACTTATAATAGTTGGACATATTTAAAAGAAGATAAGAGACATTTACATTTTACAAATAGTTAGCTTTATGCTGTTTTTTTTTTTTTTTTTTTCTGTTTGTTTTTTTAATGTCTTATTTTGTCACATACTTGGTCAGTCTAGAGGTTTAGTAAATAGTACAGGGAGATTTTATGTCAAACTGCAAAAGTTAAAATGAGAAGTGAGATCATAATCAGCATGATTCATAAACAAAAGACTGAATGTTGTCACCTCTGCTGCTTGTCTAATAGAGAGACCTGCCTGATTGGAACAAACCTGAAAGGCCTGATGTAGGCACGGTTGGCAAATGTTGAAAGTTAGTCAAGCTCTGCTTAATGCAGTTAATGCAGCTTTGTGTAGAGTTCCAGCAGAGTCGTAGCTAAGGTTTTCAGCGCCCAGGGACAACTGAAGGTTTCGCATCCCCCACTGCTTGCCAAGGATGGAAAACATTTAATTTTAAAATGTCGTAACATCAGTTTGG